GGGAAAATGCATCCTACTACCGGGTGTAGTTACACGGTAGTTACACCCATTCCTCATATGCTACCATGTGATAGTATATACTCTACTTTATTACTTTTAGTATGCTCATATACTATATCTAAGATACTCCAAAGCTAACTATGTGAAAAAATTGCATGTGAGCCCATGTTTTTATAATATTTATGAAATACGTACATATTTGTACGTAAAAAGGAGTATGCTCAAAATATACTACATACTACATAAAAAATAGTATATATATAATTGAGTCAATGGCATATTGATTTGTAGGGAAGTGGCCACTAGACGTGGTGATTTTGTATGCATTTGACAGTACCACCTCAAGCCCAGATTATAAAACCGTGGACAATATCTTTTGGTTGGTGCAAGAGAAGCTCACCCGTCTCGTGGATAGCTGCCTTGGTTACACTTATGTCATGTCAACCCCGAACACGTGCACGTCTGATATGAAAATAGTTGATTCGACCGATACGGAGTTAAAAGGCTACAAAAGAAGCCCGTCCTGGAGACGGTCCGCCTGCACGAAGAACATGGCGTCTGGCCTCTTCGAGGCCCACAAACTGATCAGCTACCGTGGACACTGGAGTAGCATCATCTTGCTCTTCTCCGATGGGCTGATCAACAAGGGAGACTACTTTGATGGAGCCGAGGACTTCGTCTCCAAAGTACCCGTCCACACGTTTACTCTCGGCGGAGAAGCGAACAAGCACGTAAGTACAAGATTGGAGATACACTAATCCAAGTTTCATGAAAATTTAGTAATTACACCAACTCACTCATGTATGACGCCTATATGCTATAGGTTCTTCATGCCATGGCAAAGAATTCCCCTGGTGGGATGTTTCACCCCCTCCAGGTCCCTGATAAGCCGAATCTATCGGCACCCTTCTCGCAACTGCTGGACAACATCCTCAACGGTACCACGAGATCCACCTAGTCCAAAATTCCCGATTCAGGTAATATTATACATCATTATATATTCTCCGCAAAGAAAAATAGAGTATTATATATTAACTGGCTACATATTCATGAGTGTGCCAATAAATGAATGGTTACTGATGTGTGACGGTCATTCATGCAGCTAGGAGAAACAAGGAGGGGCACGAGATGATGAAAAACCGCCCAGCAGTTGCTGAGGCTACGAGTCGTCGCCACCTTTGCCACCAATCTGTAGCTACTCTACCTCCGCCATTTCGAATCGTCACCACTCACACGGCTCACCTACACAGCGATAAATTTGTAATTTACATTTTCGGCCCGTATCGAATACGGCCAGTCCTTATTTACTTCTGAATAACTTTTTTCCAATAATAATGTATTAGTTGCATGAGTTTCCTTTGGTTTTCTTGTAATCACGCTTTACTCTATCAAGTTTCCCCTGAAGTTGAACCGTGTTCGCTAGAACTCCATACATACAGTTCTAATATTGGTCCGGTACGGTCAAGAATGATGGTCCATACATACAGTTAGGTTAGCTAGCTGCTGTTAATTTCTACTAATTTCGAAGTCAGCGCCTTGGCGTACAATTTTGATTTCTCAAATTGCTATTAATTTCGAAGTCAGCGCCTTGGCGTACATGTTAGGTTAGCTAGCTGCTGTTTGGCCAAGATGAACATCAACATGTGAATATAAAATGGAGTCAGCTAAACCAGCGCTCAGCGGGTGGTCATGACAAGAAATTGACTAGCAGAGGAGAGATTAACGCGGAGTGATTAATGATGCAGCTACAAATTTCCGCACAAATCACACGCAGACGAGAGATCTTAGCGGCCGCCGGGATACTAGAAGAGAGAATTCTACCTTTTCTCCGTTTTTATTTTTATGATAAAAGTGTATTTTTAGTCCCTTAAGTTTACAAGAAGTCCTCATCTAGCCCCTCAACTTTTTTGGGGTGAATTTCAGTCCCTCGTATTTCCAAACAAAAGGCATTTTGTGTAAAAAGAAAGAAGAGGTAAACCACTGACATGTCACCGGTTCTGGAATCCCACTTCAGATTAGCTCCACTGGCATTTCGTCAATGTACCTTTTATGTCTGTGTGGGGTCGGCATCTTGGCAACACCTTGTGCGCTGCCGTGTCACTATGCATATAGACGTCGGCCGGCCTCTTGCCGCTTACCAGCACCCACCACGATGTCGATGTCGACGCTTGGTTCCTCCCCTGCCGCTCCTGCTCGCCCTTGCCGGAGCATGTTCTTGCACCGGCGCGGACTAGGTAGCAACGACGACGACCATCGCCTCCTATGGCCGTGGAATCTTGCATCCCCGTGTGTTGGCCTGTGCCACTCCACTCCCTCCTCTTTCCTCTTCCTATCTTCTTATGAGTGCCACACGCACCAAGACAAAGCTCCCGCTCCATGAAAACTGTGTCTGCGCTAAACCTGCTCCCACTTTTGTCCATTCGCCTTCTCTGCATCCGTTGAGCATACCAGCGTTTACGCAAAAAGGTAGTGTGAGATTTAGAGTTAATGATGATATAGGTCACTACTTCCAGACACATAAAGGCCTAAAACAAGGAGATTCGATGTCCCCTATCTTGTTTAACATTGTGGTGGATATGTTAGCAATTTTGATAGGAAGGGCTAAGGAAAATGGTCAAGTAGGTGGATTGGTACCTCATCTTATTGATGGAGGTGTGTCCATCCTTCAGTACGCCGATGATACAATCATCTTTATGGAGCATGACTTGGCCAAGGCGAGAAATATGAAGCTTGTGTTATGCCTATTTGAACAATTGACCGGGTTAAAGATTAACTTTCATAAGAGCGAGCTGTTCTGTTTTGGTAGGGCCAAAGATGAACAGGATGCTTATAGGCAATTGTTTGGGTGTGAGTTGGGAGAGTTACCCTTCTCTTATTTGGGGATTCCAATCCACCATCGTAGGCTGACAAACAGAGAATGGAAGTGCATCGATGACCGATTTGAGAAGAAAATGAGTTGCTGGAAGGGTAAGCTCATGTCATACGGAGGCCGATTAATCCTAATTAATTCGGTGCTCACGAGTATGCCAATGTTTCTCCTATCGTTCTTTGAGGTCCCAGCTGGTGTTAGGAAGAGACTGGACTTCTATCGATCGCGTTTCTTTTGGCAGGGTGATGAGCTTAAAAGAAAATATTAGCTTGCTAAATGGGATATCATCTGTAGACCGAAAGACCAAGGGGGTCTAGGTATCGAGAATCTAGAAGTTAAGAATAAATGCCTTCTTAGCAAGTGGCTGTGGAAGCTCTCATCGGAGAATGATGCTATGTGGGCTCAAATCCTTCACAGCAAGTACCTCCTGACAAAAACTTTGTCCCAGGTTACAGTCAGGCCGACCGACTCGCCCTTCTGGAAAGGCCTGATGAAAGTCAAACAGGCCTTGTTTAATAGGACGAAGTTTGTTATTGGAAACGGCACGAGTACACGTTTCTGGGAGGATACTTGGCTCGGCGAGACACCCTTGGCCATCCAGTACCCGTCTTTGTACCGCATTGTTCAACGACGTGAGGTGTTCGTTGCATCGGTCTTTCAATCTACCCCCCTTAATATTCAGTTCCGACGAACGCTAGCGGGCAATCGTTGGGAAGAATGGCTCCGTCTAGTTAGGAGACTGATGGAAGTCCAGCTTTCACAACAACCCGATGAATTACGCTGGAAATTGACTAAGTCTGGAGCTTTCACAGTTAAATCAATGTATATTGATGTTATTAATTCGAACTCCATTCCTACGTCCAAGCATGTTTGGGATGTCAAAGTTCCTTTGAAAATAAAAGTGTTTATGTGGTTTGTCCATAAACAAGTTATTTTAACTAAGGACAACTTGATAAAGCGTAATTGGACAGGACCTACTAGGTGTAGTTTCTGCGATCGGGATGAGACTATCAAACACCTCTTTTTTGATTGTCCGTTGGCCAAGGTACTTCGGCAGACGGTCCACATTGCTTTTAATATCAATCCACCGAATTTTGTTAATGCGTTATTTGGGACATGGCTTAATGGGATTGAGCCTGACTTAGCGAGACATATTCGGGTTGGAGTTTGTGCTTTGCTGTGGACTATCTGGACTTGCAGAAATGATTTGGTTTTTAACAGAATATCATGTATACAATTTTTGCAGGTTTTATTCCGAACTACGGCACTGATCCGTTCGTGGTCGCTACTCACCCAGACGGAGGCCAGGGAGCATTTGGTTACTGGGTCCTTCCGCTGGGAGATGGTAGCTCGGGATATCTTCAACCGGTTTGGATGGCGGTCATGTAATAGGATAGACATTTAGTATCCCTATCTAGTTTTAGCCAGCCGGTTGTGGCGCCTTTTCTTGGCTAGTTGATGTTTCTAGCCCTCTTTGGCTCTGTGTGAGCTTTCGGTGTTTTTTTTATTACTTTAGAAGACCTTTGGAACCATGTTGGCACTACTTTATTTGGTTAATAAGATGGCCGTATGCATCTTTCTGATGCAGAGACCGGGAAATCCCCCCTTTTCGAAAAAAAACCAGCGTTGCCCCAACATGCCATTCTCACCCCTATTGCCTCCTTCAAGCTTCACCATCGACATCGTCCATGGTATATGGCCGTGCCCCCCTATAAGTTGGTTACTCTAGCCTCTCCCATCTCGCTACCCACCTTCTAAAGCTCCCAATCGAGTCAGAGCGAGCCAAACCCCTCCCAAACCCCTCATTCTTTCTTTCCAATGTATTTATAATTTTTGATTTTTTCATGCTACTAGCAACTTGTATGTTTTATATGTTTATATCATTTTCTAAAACTAGCCTATTAACCTAGTGGCCAGCGCTAGTGCCCTTTTTTTTTCTTATTTTGTTGTTTCCCGGAAAAACCATACCAAATTAAGTCCAAACATGATGAACTTTACGGTTATCTTTTCTGGATCAGAAGGGACCCTAGAAGCTTCGGGGGCAGACCATACGCCGCACTAGAGAGGCACAAGCTCACACGGCATGAGCCTCTATTCTTCTGTGATCCGAAACAATTTTATCGCCGCCGCAAACATCTGTTCTTTCGCAATCCGCCGATATTCTGCCGGAGGGGGAATCAATCATGGAAGCCATCTTCTTCAACCTTGCTGCATCCATGATGTTTGATCTTCAATACAATGTTCTCTTCGAAGATCGATTCATTGTAATCCTTTTGCGGTGTGTATGTCGGAATCCGATGAATTGTGAGTTTATGATCAGGTTATTCGCTGAAAGTAACCGAGACTTCTATGAACTTTACTATGTGTGATTTTATAGCCTTGTATTTCTCTCTGATCTATCTGTCTAATTCGGTCAATTAGATTGATTTATCTTCAGTGAGGGATGTGCTTGGTAGTAGGTTCAATCTTGCGATGTCCTCACTCTGTGACATGAGAAGCAGCGAGACACATATTTGTATTGTTGCTACTAAGGGTAAAACAACGGGTTCGAATATATTATTTGGTCTTACTTTGTCCACATTATGTCATCATACTCCAAGCACTACTCTGTTTGTTATGACCTTAATACCTTAAGATGCATGCTGGATAGCGATCGATGGGTGGAGTAATAGTAGTACATGCAGATGGTTGTCAGTCTACTTGTCTCGGACGTAACGCCTATATATTGATCATGCCATGAATAATGTCATAACTATGTGTTATTTTATTAATTGCCCAATAGTAATTATATCCACCATTGCTACCCTCATGAGAGAGATGCCTCTAGTGAAAGCTATGGCCCTCGGGTCCATTCACTTCATATTATTAAAACCCTAAATACCTTGCTGTAATTTATTATCTTTTATTTTATTTCACAATTTATCCATATATCACTATCAGAATTAATCCTTACAATTAACGAGTATAAGGGGATTGACAACCCTCTTGCCCGAGTTGGATGAAAGTATTTGTTTTGTGTGTGCGGGTACAGCTTACAATTTTTTGCGTCTGTCTCCTACTGGTTTAATAAACCTTGGTTCTTAACTGAG